AAAGAAACAAAACAGAACAAAAACAATGGAAGGGATCCTACATGCCCTTAAATATAATACATTCTATCAAATAATGGTTTCAGTAAAAACAATTGTTCGAACACGACATGTTAGCTTATCCTAAATAACATATTGTCAACCGCAGGATTAACTTCTTGTAATGGAAGCGGCTTCGAATGATGAAGACTGTTTATAAAATCAGAGCCCATAGTGATTGAGTTAAATATTTATCACAGAAGCAGCATCTGATTCAATTTATAAATCACATTTTGTTGAAAGCAATATCAATTTAAAGCAAAAAGTAGAAATGTTTTGTGAATTTATTAGGCACGTATTATTGATATGATATTCAATAACGTCACGGTGATCAGTTTTACCAGTACCTTGAAGGACCGTGTTCCTTGCACTTGGGGGGGGGGGTCACTGTTTAGACATTTGATGACTAATTATAATATATAATTGCTGGGCCACTGAATAGACGAATATTAGCCACGACCGTTAACCATCGCAGTTATGAGTTGTTTAGCCCATATTAATCTGTTGTATATATCACAATTCAAATATTTCGCAAATCATACATAATTAATATTGGGAATAACTGGGAACTAGGTATATGACTGTGATCTAGCTTGCCCGAGTCATTGGCAGTATGTTGAACGCATGTGTAAGACATGTGTAGTTGTTGTAAACACTCTCCATATGTTGGTATATCTCAAAAAATCAACTAATCCGGTTTCAGTTTAATCGCAGTCAGTCTCGCAAATCACTTTGTAGTTACCATATGGTTATTCATAATGCATGTTCGTGGTAACGTGGCACATTAATGTCGTGGAACCTCGGCACAAATAGTAGTCGTTTACTCTGTTTACCGAAGCATGTGTTCATTATAATATTTTTTTTTCAAGCTTGATATTTATTCAAGTGGTAATAATTTTTTTCAACATTTGGTGATATTTGGTCGAATATGCAAAGGATTATATGAACTTGTTGGTGCCTGTCACCGTATTACAGATCTTCCGTGATTTACTGTGGTTATAACGTCAACTTATGACAGACGTTTATATTTAACGTTTTAAAATAAAATAATCATGGCTGGATGCCTAAGTGATTATTGTAGAGATGTTTTAAATTTAGTAGACGCCCAGCAGTGACGTAGCAAGTATTACTATTATTTACAGTTGTCATTCCTCACAGACTGACTGTAGTGTGCCATCATGTTACCAATGTACCCTGGGTCCAAAATTATATATTAATAATTCCAAATACATTTTCTTTCTTAATCGCATCAAGATATACTGGCAGTGATATGTAACAACCATTCAATATGCAAATGAAACACAACGCTCTCTGAAGACTTGAATGGACGTTCTCAGATTACTAGTATCGTGTAAGTGCGTTGTGTTTAAAAACTACGTAAAAGATAGATATATAAATCTATGCTCGTGTAGTAATGATCATTAAAATCGTGCCAGGATGTGAACTTATAAAATGTCTGTTAATTATTTAGTAAATCTCTTATTATAAATCCACTTATAAGATATTTTATATATATATATATATATATACCACAATGCGGTCCCGTTCCGACTCACACAGTAAGTGGCACTAATCAACACTTGTTTTAATTAAATTTTTTTCTGTTCATGACGTATATGAAGAATTCTCCCTCACAACTCGCAGCATTTTTAAGCAGAATATTGCTGTATTGCCAAATATATAACATCTGCTGACTTGTGGCAGTTGGATCGTATTCTGAATCCATAAAACCCAGACAACAATACGGATTATTTTGGCGCCATCCGTATTTACGTTTCGGCTAGCCTTAATCGAAACCGGCGTCACGTGGTCATGCGCATATTGCAGTATTAAATACTGTATTTAAATTATAGATTGAGTGAAGCATGGCACAATTTTGAAGCAATTTTTCTGCTTCGGAAAGTGACTTATGACAACTAAACCATAAAACTAGGGGGTCTACCGTATATAACCAAAATTTAGTGACATTTGGTAATCCAATAAGTAATCCATAAGTAATCCATAATCATGATCTATACACATTTTATGGCAACGCAGAAAACCTAGTTTGTCACCGCTGTATATTTTTTCCACGTTTAGAAATTATCACTATCGTAAGGAATAATTCATAATATTCACTAGAATAGATTGCTGTGTATGAACGTTGTGTGGCCTCACTTAAATGACACGAATACACGCTGTTTCAGCCGATATTTTTGCGTGCGTCTGTCTTTATGCAAGGTCAAAGGTCATCGCCTCATCCTACTAAGTTATATAAATACACTTTTAAAGTGCCTTCGTATTTTCATTTCCTAAATTACCCGCGCGGTCGCCCTGGTTACTCTATACTACTAACAATACAAGTTTTGAACAGTAATATCATCGTTTTAGCCATTGGCATTACTGAGTCAACTCAATTTTCCAGATAAACAGTTTTTTGGAAAATAAATTGAAACGCAATTATCGATTTTGGGTTAATACTAGAATTGTATTTATCTGCACGATTGGAAGTGGATATAATGACTGTTGTTGCATACATTCAACTACGCGACAGCCGCCAGGAACACCTGCCAACGCAAAGCTAGGAAATTGGTCTCTCTTTTTATTTGAAACTCGCAGCACAGCAGTTCCATAAACTGGACGAAGGCAGAAAGCGATTTGTATGGTTCTGATTGTGAAATACATACGCATGCGCATAATATCATGAAGTTAAACTGGGTTTCACTAATAGTGCTGAACCAATGCTCGTGAAATTTCATTCACACGCCTTGAAATGATGGAACACACCATCTCAAATGTAAATGAGCTTTGTTTTATGTTAGAATGTCATATGTCCTACCCATGCTTGAGGGTTCCAGGTGCATGCATAAAATATTGATTTCACTAAAGCGATTTCGTTAAGAGAGTCTGGGAGTTAATATTCACTGTAATAATCGCTGCAGTTTTTAACGAAAGCAAGGCTAAAGTTAAGTTAGTATATTGTGTTTGGGTAACAAACACACAAACGCGTTCTAACAAAATCTGTAATTGATAGAACTTCATGTAAGCGTAGAAACTGTCCATATACCGATGATGTGTATTATCCGTACTTATAAAGCTGACGTTACGTGACGGATCCGTAATTCGTGATTAAAATACAAAATATTGGAAAAAAATAATGATACGTTGGCTGTTAAAAATATATTAGTTATTAGCAGGTGAAAATATAAAGTTTACGTTATTATAAACACTGTTTATTATTCTACACTCGATCGCAAACCACCAATGGTCCGTTGCATTCCGTTGTGTGATCTCCGTAATACCGTGTATTGATACAAAAGTAAATCTTGATGAAATGATGATGGAGAGTCGAAAATGGCCCACAATTGTATCCGAATAATTGATATTGTGTGAGAATCCAAACGCCGTAACGCGTTTGGGAAATAAGACAAATTACCCGTCTATATTTAGGTATCGTAATGAAAACAACTTAGCGCCCCTTAAAGTGAATGTTACGAATATCCAATGCAATCTAACGCCTTGTAACCATTGCAGCTAGCTGGCTCCATTTTACTTCGTTCTAACCCGCTTAAATTTGCAGCTCGTCGCGCGTAACCTTTCACAGTCCGGGGGGTATTGTGGCGATGTGTTGCGGCATCATACATTGACATCCGATTTGCGAAATGTTAAAACTGCACGCCATGATGGGAGAAACCATCCGGTGTTTACTTAGCTACACCCACGATACTAGGTAAATGCTCGCCTCCGCATAGTCGTAGCTTTTTGCAATTTGATTTGCAATTTGGATTATTATTAAATTCTTGTTTTTATATCATTAATCGTGTTTTTCCTCGCCATGTGGATCATTAATCTGCCAAGCACGCAGAAGCCTGATATCACTATTGACCTTAGCGGGGTTACGCGGAAACAATGACCACGGTGTTATTTTTATCGGGAACGACAATGTATTAGTTTCATGTGTAATGAACAAGTCCTATTACGTCTAGTGTAAACACGGAGTATGCATGTAATTTACAAGCGTCAGTGGCGAGTGGTAGTTGGAACACAATGACAAGCAGTAGATTGGGTCTGTGAAACATCGTCTATCTATATTTAACAACGAATCATCAATTATTCACACTTCTTGCAGTTCTAGCTACATGACGTCATTATCGAATTATGTATTTACCATTTCCAAATGTCATCGTCCGTATCAGTGTGTAGTTTGCATGTTCTACATTGCCCCGTATAAATATCTTGAGATGTCCTTAGGCGTTCACAGCGAACATTTATAAATGTATATCCGACATACTTCCGTTGTAACCCCGTCGTCTAAAATAAAATATTTCTGCTGAAGGGGGTATTAGCTGACATAGTTTAAGAACGGTAGTCTCGGTTATCCTTGTGAAATACGCGCTGCACACGGAAGACGTTATGCTACAAATTCCAAACATTTTTAAACCCCAAAACTCAAAACGAATATTCGACAGACAGTCGATGAAGACATTATATATACAACGTTGTAGCGCATTCAAAGTAAAATTACGCGTGAATCGTATACACAGCTCAACTAGAAATACTTGTGTGTTATTTTATTATGGAATCGCACCAAATTCGTTTGTGCACATCATCCTATTGTATTTATCACTTTGTTACTGTTACCCTAGTGAGGTCTCTTAATGATTTTTGAGAGGACAGTTTAAGTAACCGCACATTTGAGTATGTAGCAATTATCGGCGTCGTACTCGTATATGTGACATTTGGGTAGTAAGCAAACGAGTACAATCAAGTATCTAATCACCAGGAACCTAGCTTCAGTAGGTTATAATAAGCCTGTTTTTCAGAAAACGGCATAATTTTTTAGTATTCTCACTGTTGTACTATAATCAGTATTTATTGTCATTATCTACTGGTTAAAACCGATGCCAAACAGTAAATAAATGTACTTCCAGATTAAATACACACACATATATATTACTGTAACAGTTGTTTCTGCTCCACCGCAGGTTACGTCGATTACTTTCAGGACCCTTTCTCTGGCATTGAAGATATCTCTTTGGAAAATATACCGCTAGGTTTTTACTCTGGGATGTTTGCCTATGCCGGTTGGTATGTATGACTCATTACTCTGCACCTCTCATGTGGACTACACCAGCTCCAAATAAAACACATTTACCCTGTTCGATCGCCAGCGAATGTGGAAAACAACTGAAAGTCATGCAAATTTAAACGTCCGAGTCCGAACACTCACTTTCGTGATTTGATTTGAAATATGTATGATTGTACCTTTCATCGGTTTTTACCGCCTAAATTATTCAAAGAATACCTTCTACGGGTAGTCAATTTAATCTAAAACTAGAACGTCATGAGAGCAAAATGAGTTCAATTTCCCACTTATAAACCACGTTCAACATGACAAATCAAGCAGACAAATAAGGCAATAATTTCACTATCTGGTATAGTAATTATTAATATAATAATATTGTTATATTATCCATACATTAAAAATAGAAATTCGAACAATTATCAGACCTAAACGACCTAAATAATAAATATGCATCCTTGCTCTAATTATAGTGGAACACCTAACTTTTCGAAAATGTTTCAAAAGCCATTTCCCGAAGGGTTAAACGTGAGAGTGAAAGCTGCTTTTTTTCGCGACACAATGTGATTACGCCGGCTTCTTCGTCGGCTAAACGGTTTCGAGTTTACACCTCCCTAGGAGGCGCCATCTGTATTAGTAACATTGTTGTTAATAATATCAGTTTAAATTGATATTAGACTAAAATGTGTGTCTCTCAAATAGAATCACTTTTAAGTTAGTGTGATTTGATAAAAACATGCAAAATCAACGTATGTGGCATCTATATTAACTCTACCATAGACATGCCGATCAAAAATATACATTGTAATCTTGTTCATAAAATGTTGCCGGTTAGATGAATTAGGTTATTCTCAGGACATATCAAACTGGCACTCGCTATATACTACACCCAAGTATATGTGTGTGTTTGCCCATCAATATTCATTAACCAAATGGCATTTTTGTCACTAGTTGTAATAATTGTATTAATTTAAAATAACATATAGCTTAGGGGGGAAATAGTAGGTCTTACTCGATTAGTTGTAATATATTATAATCACAGTTCGAAGAATTCACGTATTATGTGATAATTTCTCTATATGCTAGTTTCCTAATTTGTAATTACATGAAAATTAATTTATGCATGAACGATGTTCGGCACAATATTTGTATATTTGAGATATTGGTCCTTCGATTGTATACTACAATGTTTTTATTGGGTGGCGGTTTTCGTATATACACACATTAGTCACACACACACACACACACACACACATACGCACACACACACATACGCCACACACACACACACACACACACACACACACACACACACACACACACACACACACACACACACACACACACACACACACATACTTGTATTGCAATATGTTCCGAGGACTCCATTGGATTAACTTTTAATATAGTTGAATTAACTTTTAATATAGTTGCGATATGAACTCGAT